AAATGAATTATTATAAAAATTAAGCAATTATTATGCATAGATTTAAGTCTGTATATTGTTTCAGGGTGCACATGTAAAAAGGTTTCATTATAATGTGATGATTAATCCTAACTAAATTAGGGGAAAGTTAAATATTACGCAAATTAGGTAATTATTATGGATGTACATAACCAAAACTAATTAGATCGTCACATTGTGTTAGAGTACATATGTACCAAGATTGATTTAAATAAGATAAGTACAATCTTTCATTGAAATGTGATTAGAACCAAAAAATTATGAATTATTATTATGCAAATTAATACGATCTTATTTTAACCTGAAACTGAGCAGGTCTGTGCATTGTTCTAGAGCATCTATGTACGAAGTTTCATTGAAATGGAATAATTAGTACTTGTGATATAAGTGAGAAAGATTAAAATTGACTAATTATGCACATTAGGTAATTAATATGCACAGATTAAGTCCAAGCTAATCACGTCTGTGCATTGTCCTTGAGCATCTATGTACCAAGTTTTATCAAAATCCAATGAGTGGCGCTTTAGGTATCAGTGGAGCAGTCATGGAACAGCTAAAAATTAGCTAATTATCATACAAATTAATATGCATGGATTTCAACCAAATGAGCTCAGAACATCTATGCACTAAGTTTCATTAAAAACCAGCATATGATTCTTGAGATATCAGTGGAGCGGACGGACACACACGTACAGACAGGCCAACTGCAAAGACTCCCATTGTGTGCTTCGCGCACAGGAGTAAAAAACCATGGCAACACTCACCATAAACAACCAATACTCTGAATGGTATTCGGAGCAATTTTGTTGCCGAATTTAGTCTTTGTGTTCCAATAGTCACTTTGTAGGAATATTTTACTGACTGTCCTTTATATGATGGTGGTGCATCTCTTGGTATACGTTCTCTGTAAATAACTAAACAAGAAAAAAAGTTTTAAAATGATCATTATCTCTTTGAGGTCACACTAATACTGAAAAAAAAAGTGTGTCAGTTTAAAAAAGAGTTTATTTTTAGCTAAATTATATTAGAAATGCAAGAAACAAAACTTTATGGCAAGTAATTGTTCACATGCAAGTAATCATTGATAATCATCAAAACGAAAATAATTCTTACATGTTTTTGATTCTCCCGGAGACAGTGTGAGATTGCAGAATAATATCCGTGGATGTGTTGATACAACGGTGACTCCTCTTTCACCTGAATCACAATTGAGAATGATAAATAACCTTGTTTAATACATCAGGGAATAAAGAGACATTCTAGACACATTAAAGTGTCAAGACTAAAATGTGTGTCATATTTACATCACATTTGAACATTTTCCCTTGTTTAGGTTATGGAAACAGCATGGTTACTAAAATAGTAACAGCGGATGCCAAAACAATGTAGTGCAAGCCTGAAATCACGGTTCGTAACCGTGCTGAAATTGAATCTCAAAAGTTCAGGCTGCTATTACATTATGACTGCAAGCAAAAAAAAAGAAAATGAACAAATCTAAAAGAGGTCTACCTGTATAGTATCAAAGCAACTGGACTTGTAGTTTTTAACAAGAAGCCAAAAATATCACTTTTTACCAACAAGCAGCCTGTCGGTGAGATAGCTCCGCTGTTAGCAATGCACATTTCAGTTAAAGAACTGAAGATATCATAAACAATTTATGTATAGTATCAAAGCAATCGGACTTGCTGGTTTTTCAACAAAAAGTCGAAAATATAACTTTTTACCAAAAATTACAAAAATATTCATCAAAATTAGAGAATTGAAGATATCATCATGAAATGAACAAATCTGAGAGAGGTAAACATGTAGTAATTGAAGATATCATCACGAAATGAACAAATCTGAGAAAGATCCACCCAAGGTGCCTTTGTCGACAGCGGAGCTAAAAATGACCAAAATATTCATCAAAATTAGAGAATCGAAGATATACTCATGAAATGAAAAAACTGAAAGAGGTCTACCCGTAGTACCTATATGTATAATATCAAAGCAATTGGACTTGTGGTTTTTAACAAAGAAGTCAAAAATATCACTTTTTACCAAAAATGACCAAAATATTAATCAAAATTAGAAAATTGAAGATATAATCATGAAATGAACAAATCTGAAAGAGGTCTACCTGTACCTATATGTATAATATCAAAGCAATCGGATTTGTGGTTTTTAACAAGAAGTCAAAAATATCACTTTTATAATAAACTTTGCTCGACAAAGTCGGCAGCGGAGCTAAAAATTGGAGAAAAAAGATTGATACATGTAGTTACAGCTATTAGGTTATCAAGCAAATACTGAAAATAAATCTATTTTC